TCCTCCTCCTCCTCCTCCCCTCTCACTTCCCCCCTGGGGCTCGCCGCGGATGCTTGGTTGGCCCAGGTTTGCGATTGCAGCGCTGGACCTCAGGGCCCGGATTCTCGGCGTGGCGACGCCTCTGCGGGCAGAGGCCAGCGCGTGCGCGGCCGCCCCATCTGCTGGTGTTTCTCCGCAGCACGGGCGGTGGCAGTCGCGGCGGGAAGGGTCACTCGACTAGAGTGACCTTTCGCCGGAGTGACCTTCGGTGCGGGCACAGATGGGTCCCCAGATGGCTACGAAGCAGTGGCAGCTGCTTGCGCGCCCAGGTTTGGTACCCCCGCGGCCCCCCAAAGTCGCGCACCAAAGGTCACTCGTACATAGGGTCATTCTTGTGTATAGCCGAGTCACGTGAGCTGTGCCCTTGCAGCGCGGGTGGTCATGATTGCGCAGATTGAGGGCATCGTGCGTGGCGCACGTGGTGAGCATGATCACGGTGAAGGAAAAAAGAATGTGCGGGCCACGACCGTGGCAGCAGCGGTGATGACCACAATGACAAACGGTTGTGACGAAGGTTGCTGCGTGGTCATAGGCATCTCCGTCCGCCCCACCTTGGACATCGAATGTGCACCTGGTGGCATGGAGCTGATCACCTGTATGCCCACTCGTAGTCGTTATTTGTTGAGCTGCTTGTAGCTCTGGAGCGAGCACCGCATCAGCGCACGCATCAACGTCTTGCAGTGAGTGCTTTGCGACTTTCACTCCTTCCCCATGATCGCGCGAACGCCGTGCGCTTGCCTTGTACGATTGTGACATTTGCCAGGGTACAGGAGCCAGCTCTGTTTACACCATTGCCCCATCCTCCATCATCCCCATCCCGCTTGCCCGCATCCTCTCCCCCTTCCCCCTCTCCTGCGCTCGTCTCCTCCTTCCCCTCTCCCTCTTCTTTCTCCTCCTCGCAGTCTGCTGCGCCCCCGTGATACTGCACCAGGACTATGGGGGTGTGCCTCAGATGAAAGGTTGGGCCTCTCTCGCCACGGCCTCGTGCACAGACTGGCGCGTCTCACCAGCCACACAGGGGGCCCAGGAGGGAGTCCAGAATTTTCACGAGGACTAGATGAGATGGAGGATGGGGGAGGGCGAGGAATTGGATATCGAAGGAGGAGATGGAGGAGGAAGAGGAGGACCAGGAGGGGGAGGAGGTGGAGGAGGAGGGGGAAATTGAGATCGAGGAGACCCGGTGAGGAGGAGGTGGAGAAACAGGAGGGCAAGGAAGTCGAGGAACAGAAGGGGGAGGAGGAGGAGGAGGAAGAGGAGGAGGAGGAGGAGGAGGAGGAGGAGGAGGAGAAGCAGGAGGAGCGGGAGGAGCAAGAGGACTCAGGATGGAGCGGCCCTAGAGGTCTCCAGAGGTCCCGGGAGGCCTCCCGAAGACCTCCAGAGGCCAAACGGGCAGCATACCTTTTCGAGCGTGGATACGCAAATCCTCCCCTCTTCCCTCGTCAGACCACCCCTCTAAGGCAAGCTGTACTTCCGGTCCAGCGGATGCCCTGGAGGCATCTGGAGGCTCCCAGAGGCCCGGCCCACGAGTACAGCATGTTAGCTAGCGTGGACCCCAAATAGTGTGCTCCAGCATACTATGTGGTGCAATCCATGTGATCCGATATGTGCGGTGCAATCTGTGTTGTGGAAGCTATTGTGGTGCAATCTGCGTGGTGCAAGCTATGTGGTGCAATCTAAATGGTGCTGTGCAGTCGAATATCGTGCAACTTGTGTGGTGCAGTGTATGTGGTGCACGCCATATTTTGCAAGTAAGCCTGCCGAACTTGAAGTTGTCAACTTCACTGCTCGCGCAATCATCCCACCCACCCACCTGTAACTTGGCTTGCAAAACCCATGCAGCTGCGATTTCGATGAGTGCTCGGCGCTGGCTGGCGCAGCGCTGCGGCGTCGCTAGCGCGCACGCTCGCGCGCAAAGCGTCCAGCTAGTTTGGCGCGACCGACGCAGCCGCCGCTGGGCGCGTCTCAGCGGGCACTTCAGTGCGAGTCGGCGACTTAGGCAGGCTCGGTATGATGGCAACGTCGGCAAGGGTAAGCACGTTGACGGTAGTTGTGGTGCTGGTGACGATGATGACAATGACGGCGGCACGGCTAGTGACGGTTCCGATGCTGATCACGCCGACGACGATGACGGCGTCCTCGCGTCGGTGATGAAGGTTTTGGACCGAGTTTAACATGCGCACGCGGCCGACGCGCGAGAGTTGTTCGCATGAAATTGTTTTACACGGTTCGTGCCCCCCCCCCCAGCGGGCGCGCAAGGGCGTTGCAATGACACTGACATGCGGCGCGCGAGGCCCTTTTTGGTATAATTTAATGAGAACGTTGAAAACCCATGGTTTCCTTAAGAATTCGCAGGCGCGCGATCGCAGGTATTTGGGGACAGTGATGTTGCAAAACCAGAAGTTGTGCATAAACACATGTTGTCGGGGACACTCGATTCTGAAACTTCTACGAAACATTTATTTGACATATTCTTGCATTCGCGCGCGACGACACGCGCGTGTGCATGTCGCCCCGCTTTCTACAACAGGATTCTTCTTGTGACAGCACGCGTGGAAGGGTGTTCGAATGATCACGACATGCCCGCGCTTGGTAGCATTACATGCACCGTTTAAAGACATTGAGGATTTCATAGGAACCAGCAGGAACGCGAGCGCAGTTTTTTGTAAACAAATTGTTGTTCGGATTGTTTTGCGGCGTCATGGTTTTCCTTTTAAGGTTTAATAGTCTTTTTTCGGAACACTTGATTGAACACCCTACGGAAACGACGGTTTCCGAAGGATTCCTGCATGCGTGCGCGACGACGCGCGCGTGTGCGCGTTGTCTCGTTTTTTTCGCAAGGGTTTCTGGACAACGGATGATGCCCGATCAACGGGTGCGCGCGCATAATATTTTTCCAGAGGATGCAGGGCGGAATTTGTATTTCGGATGGACGCCGGGGCAAAGCCATATGTGTATTGCATTAAGAAAATGGGGACCGTTAGTTTCGGGGGGATCTATTTCGTTTTTTGGGACAGGAGAATCTATGTGAAGCAATTTAGGACGTGTAGGCCATGTGGTGCGAGCTACTTGGTTTAAGCTATGTAGTGCTTCGTGACGTAAGCTACGTCGTGCGGTTCAGGTGTTGCTATCGAAGTGATGTACGCTACGTAGTTCAGCTTGTGTGGTGCAGTGAATTTCTAAGAACTTGTAGTTGTCAGCTCCAGTGCTCGCGCAACCGGCCTACCTTCCCACCCGCGACTTGGTTTGCAAAACCCATGCGGCGGCGATTGCGACGACTGCTTGGCCATTGCTGGTGCGTCTCTGCGGCCGCGCTGGCGCGCGTAACCTCACGCGCAGAACGGCCAGCTGGTTTGGCATAGCGGGTGCGGCCTCGATGGCGCTTGCCGATGACAACGTTCCTGCGCGCGTCAAAGGCCGCGCTGGCGCGCGGGCGCTTAAATGCGGGTCGGTGGCTCGGGCGGGCGGAGTAGCATGATGACGTCGAAAGCGGTGGCAACCACGATGGTAGTAGCGGTGGTGGTTACGATGGTGACGATGACGACGGCAAAGTCAGTGACAGCGCCGATGCTGGTCACGCCGATGAAGGTACAAATGTTCATGTGTCGTTGATCACGGTGGTGAGAGTATTCCGACATGCGCGCGCGGCCGACGCGCGCGTGGCCCGCGCGGTATTACTTGAAAAGGGGCGTGCCGCCTCAGCAAGCGCGCAAGGGCGTTCGAATGATTTCACCATGTGCGCGCGAGAGGCCCATATGGTGCCGTGTGAGGAACATGGTGAGCACTTGTGTCTCCCGCAAGAGTTTTAAGAATGCGCGCGCACATTTTTGAACAACACATGTTGGACAATACACGGGTGATGTTCATATGAAGTATGCTTCGCTTGTTTTGATGTTGACTGCATTGCGATAGAAAAAAGGTGTGGCAATGTTCCGGTGTGCGTGCGCGACGTTTCACGCGCGTGTGGACTTCGTTCTGTCGTTTTGCAAAGGTACTTCTTTGATGAGCGATGGCGCGTGCTAAATTCCATTTGACAAGGATGAGGTGTTGCGGTGCGGGACTCGCTAGGACGGTGTGAACTCATACGCACAATGATCGTTAAGGCACAGTCTTTTGTAAAGCGCATATTCCCAAGGGGATGGGATCAGTCTGGGCCCAGGAGGGTGGAAACGAGAGCTTATCGTAACGCAGCGTGGGGGGATGCAGCGGGGCAACCGCGACGGGCGGAGACGGGCGGCGACGAGGCTGCGACGGGCAGCGACGGCGACAGCAAACACGGCGACTGACACCCACGTGCGCTGGAGTGGCGACGGACGGCGCCGACGGGCGGCGACGGCGACAACAATTGCAGCGACCGACGCCCAGGAGCAGAAGCAGCGGCGACCGACGGCGACGACGGGCGGCGACGACGGCGACAACATTGTGGCTGGACCGACACCTTGGTCCCCTTGCTTTCGGTCGAGTAGAAGACCCGAAACGCAACGCCTCACGCCTTCCATCCTCGATCCTCGATGGGGGCAACTTCACATCCGTCTCTCGGGGGCGGGGGACAGATCGACACGGCCTCGCGGTCCGGACTCCTCGGCGGCGACCCACGCGCGGACCGTATGGCCGTTGACGTTTCGCGTCTGGGCGTTTGCCAGCTGCCGCCCAGGGCGAATCGCGCCGAACGCGAGGCTGTGTCTGGAGCGCCCTGTGCCCAGACGTTGGCGTTATGGTTTTTTGTTTTTCCAGCTCAGGAAGGACAGACAAGACACAGACACACATAATCGTCGGTTCCGAGGAACATCTGTGAAAATATGGTAAGTGGAAGGGAAACGAAAACCAAGGCGATGTTGGAAGGTATGGGGAATCCTCGGGTTTACGTCTATTTATTTGTGTGTCCCTGGGCCCCTTCAACAACGTGCTCCCCCCCAGAGGTCTGGTCTTTCCCTTTGGGGCGGATTTCTCGTCCTGAGTAGTTTTTGTGATGGCCCAGGGACCAGGCAATGATCCCCGAAGGCCGACAATCGCCAACATCGGCGACGATGAGGACGACGACGACGACGACGACGGCGGCGGCGGCGGCGACGGAGGGGGTGGCGGCGGCGGCGGCGGCGGTGGTGGTGGCGGCGGATGTGGCGGCGGAGGGGGCGGCGGCGACGGCGGAGGGGTTCGGCGGCGGCGGATGAGTCGGCTGTGGCAGATTCAATCGTTCATTTGTAATGTGTGTACATTAATGTTATTTCAAATCCAGAAGCTAGAATATCACGATGCTAGGATGTCAGCGTATGTGCGTCGCCCGTGCAGACGCTAACACCGGAGGCAATGCATGGTTCATGTCACGGATGCTGCCATCCCCCTCCTCACCGCAGGGGCTGTCCCCCGTAGGGGGGAATGATGCAGCGAGGTAGCTGTAATTTTTTATTGTGCTTTGTCTCTTTCTGTTTATAGATATACATACATGCATAAAACACCAACAACAAGACAAACAACACAAACAAAAACACGGAGGACATAATAGGACCCCCCAGGGGGGCCCCAGGGGGGGGGGGGCGAGTAGCTAGGCCCCCCGACCACCACTGAATGGGGGGGGAGGTACCTCTCAGACATGATGTTTTTTTTTTTTGTTCCCCCCGTGAGGCCATGGCCTTCCCCACCTGGTCTTAGCTAGGCCCAGCAGATTGTCCGCAGTGGTGTTCCGTTTCTTCGATCCTCTTTCTTTTTGTCTACAGCCCCGAGGCTGGTGCAGCTCGCCTGAGGCGAGACGCGCGGTCTCGAAGCAGGCCGCGGCTGCTGCTGGCGGCGGCCGGCGCCTAA